CTCTTTCCAAACTCTTTCGTTCCTCTCTTCTCTCTCTCTCTCTCTCTCTCTCTCTCTTCTCTCTCTCTCTCTCTCTCTCTCTCTCTCTCTCTCTCTCTCTCTCTCTCTCTCTCTCTCTCTCTCTCTCTCTCTCTCTCTCTCTCTCTCTCTCTCTCTCTCTCTCTCTCTCAAAATTTTCCTTTTTTTCCTTTTTTTCACTTCCTTCTCCATACCTCGTTTCCTTTTTCCTCTATTATTATCCTTCCTTCTCCTTCTTTCCTTCTTTCATCCCTATTTCCTCTCCTTTTCCTTCTCCTTAGTTTCTTTCTCTCTTTCTTTTGTTCCCTCTTTCTGAATTCATCTCCTTACGAAACCTCCATATTATCCTTTCTTCCGATTATCTCATTTTCTTCTCTTCTACCTCCTATCTCTCTTCTTTACTCTCCTTCTACCTCCTTTTATCTTGTTCTCTTTGTATCCCCTTCCATTTCCATCTTTCTTTCTTTTCCCTTTCCTCTCTCTCATAGTTTCTTTCCTACTCATTCTTTCCTTTTCCTCTCTTCCTCCCTTTCTTTCTTCCATCTTCCTATTTTTCATATCTCTCTCTTCCTTCTTTCTATCTCTTTTTTTCTCTTCTTTCTCTCCCTTCCTTTCTTATTTCTTTCCTTGTATCTCGTCTTTTATTCTATTCTCCCGTTCTCCATCCCACCTCTTTTTCCTATTCCCTCCTTCCTCTCTTCCTCCTCTCCTTTCCTCTCTTCCTCTCTTCCTCTCCTCCTCTCTTCCTCTCTTCCTCTCCTCCTCTCTTCCTCTCTTCCTCTCCTCCTCTCTTCCTCTCTTCCTCTCTTCCTTTCTTCCTCCTTAGGCTTCTTCTTGTCCAAGGCTTCTTCCCTTTCTTTCTTCCATCTTCCCCCTCTTCCCTTCCTTCCTCTCTTTCCTTCTTTCTTCTCCCCCTTTCCACCCACTCTTCCTTTCCTTCCCTCTTCCTCTCTTCCTTATCTCCTTTCTTCCTTTTTTCCTTCTTCCTCCCTAAAACGAAGAGAAACTCTTTTTTTCTGTCTGAGGTTTTCTTTTTTATATCTCTTTCCATTTTCTGCATTCTTTCTCACCCTTCTTTCCTCTCTTCCTCTCTTCCCTTTCTCCCTCTCTTCCTCTCTCCCTCTCTCCCTTCTCCATTTCTCCCTCTCTTCCTCTCTTCCTTCTTCCCTTTCTCCCTCTCTTCCTCTCTTCCTTCTTCCCTTCCTCCTCTCTTCCTCTCTTCCTTCTTCCTCTCTTCCTCTCTCTCTTCCTTCTTCCCTTCCTTCCTTCTTCCTTCCCCTAAAACGAAAGAGAAACTCCCTTTTATCTTGTCTGAGGTTTCTTTTTGTATCTTCTTCCATTTTCTGCCTTCTCTCTCCCCCTTCGTTCCTCATTTTCTCTCTTCCTTCTTCCCTCTCTTCCTCTATTCCCTTCCTCCCTCTCTTCCTCTCTTCCATTTCCCCCTCTCCTCCTTCTTCCCTTCCTCCCTCTCTTCCTCTCTTCCTTCTCCCCTTTCTCCTTCTCTCCCTTCTTCCTTCTTTTCTTCCTTCTTCCTCCCCCTAAAACGAAAGAGAAACTCTTTTTTTCTTGTCTGAGGTTTCTTTTTGTATCTTCTTCCATTTTCTGCCTTCTCTCTCACCCTTCTTTCCTCTCTTCCATTTCTCCTCTCTTCCTCTCACCCTTCCTCCCTCTCTTCCTCTCTTCCTTCTTTCCATTTCTCCCTCCCTTCTTCCTTCTTCTCTTCCTTCCTTCTTCCTCCCTAAAACGAAAGAGAAACTCCCTTTTTCTTGTCTAAGGTTTCTTTTTTTGTATCTCATTCCATTTTCTGCCTTCTCTCTCACCTTCTTCCTCTCTTCTCTCTTTCCTTCCTTCTTCCTTCCCCTAAAACGAAAGAGAAACTCCCTTTTTTCTTGTCTGAGGTTTCTTTTTGTATCTCCTTCCATTTTCTGCCTTCTTTCTCACCCTTCTTTCCTCTCTTCCTCTCTTCCCTTCCTCCTCTCTTCTTCTCTTCCTCACTTCTTTCTTCTCTTCCTTCCTTCTTCCTTCCCCCTAAACGAAGAGAAACTCCCTTTTTTCTTGTCTGAGGTTTCTTTTTGTATCTCTTTCCATTTTCTGCCTTCTTTCTCACCCTTCTTTCCTCTCTTCCTCTCTTCCCTTCCTCCCTCTCTTCTTCTCTTCCTCACTTCTTTCTTCTCTTCCTTCCTTCTTCCTTCCCCTAAAACGAAAGAGAAACTCCCTTTTTTCTTGTCTGAGGTTTCTTTTTGTATCTCCTTCCACCCAGGGACAGGCACCCGAGGCCGAAGACGAGAACACACCCGAGAAGAGAGTGGATAAAATCTTCTCCCAAATGGACAAGAACAACGACGAAAAACTCACCCTCGAGGAGTTCAAGGAGGGCTCGAAAGCTGACCCTCGCATCGTCCAAGCACTGTCTCTTGGCGACAACTAAATGCTCTCCTCCCCTCCCCCCCCTCCCCCAAGTTCATCCTACTCGAATGCGATGCTCAAGTTCGTAAATGATTTCACACGCTTGGGGATTTTCTATCTCTTTTTTTTCTTTTCTTTTCTTTTTTTTTCTTTCTTTTCTTTTGGGTAATCTTTTTATTTTCTTGAATGAGGTTTGGTTCATTCTTAGTGGATAACTTTTTAACTTTTTTTCTAATACTTTTGGTATCTCAATTTCTTTGTCTGCTTTTTTTTTTTTCGTGGGTTTCTTCTTCTCTACATATTTACTTTCTTTTCGTTTTACGTATCGTAATGATTCACTCTTTTTATTCTCTTTTCTTTCTCTCTTTCTCGATTTTTATACCTTTCCCCAATACGTAGTTTTGGATTATTTTGGTTGTACTTTCTCTTTTCATTCCTCGTCCATCTCCTCTCTCGGATCCCTGCTAATCCCTCGGGCTTTCTCCTCCGGCAGGGTCAAGCACCTGAGGCGGACGACGAGAACGCGCCGCAGAAGAGAGTCGACCAGATCTTCTCCCAGATGGACAAGAACCACGACGAGAAGCTCACCCTCGAGGAGTTCAAGGAGGGCTCGAAGGCTGACCCCAGGATCGTCGAGGCCCTGTCTCTCGGGGACAACTGAAGCCTGCGCGTCCTCATCTACCTGATCCTGAATCCTGAACCTGTTTCGTCAGCGCCCCTCGGAGACGCTTCCTCCTGATGCTTCACCTGCGTCGTCTTCCCCTTCCTCTTCATTTTCCTCCTCCTCTACCTCCTCCTTTGCTTATTCCTCTCCTCCTTCTTCTCCTCCTCCTCCTCCTCCCTCCTCCTCCTCCTCCTCCTCCTTCTCGCCCTCCTCCTCCTCTCCCTTGTCCTCCATCGTGACACTCCACAAGTCGTGTTCCAACGTCGGTCCTCCAGGTAGCGATCTGCTGAGCGAGAGAAAAAAAAAAAAGGTTCCCCGCCATCGACTCGCCGACGTCGTCCTCGAAAAAAAAAAGATGTTCAAGAAAGTCCTTTCGAGAAAATGGAAAAAAAAACTTTGATTTCGATGTTCCTTTTTTTGGTCTCTTTTTGTATCATTTTTTGGGGTTCCTTCGTTCTCCTTCGTAATGCATAGCTTGAGCACTTTACCCATGTATTGTTATTACTCTCAACAGCAGTTAATCAATACTCAATGCGAGATATGAAGGAAACGTATATATATATATGTATAAATAATACACGTTTGATATGTAATCATTTCTTTAGGGAATGTTGGTTAATGGATGTGTTGATCTGTACCTGTAATTGTATGTTATCTGGTTAATGCAAGGTAATGTTCCCACGTTCTCACATTCTCAACATTCTTAATCACTTTCTCAAGATTATTCTGTATAAATCATAGACGCATTAACCATCTTTCTTTTTTTTAACTATAATACCATTACTCAAACCATTTATATTCCAATCTTTAAATCATTGTGTACTTTCTGCATGAATCAAAAAAAAAGCATAATCATAATGGTTGTTTAATGAAGAGAAAAAAAGAAAATTAGATTGATATTGACGACAAGTTTGAAGAGTCGATGATCACCCTGACTTTCACACACATTTTTTCCCAGCGTTCTCAGACGTCAATGGACACTTGTATATCTAGCACGTTCACCGAATAATCTTTATCATATATCTTGGGAGATTTCATTTGGGAAAAAAAGAAGAAGAAGAAATACATAGATCTTGAAACCTACCAATCTTTAAACTAGGATGATAGACGAAATGGAATTCTTAGGGTTAGGTCCGAACTCTTTACTCTCGTGAGAAAATAGATTAAAAAAAACTTTGATAGGGGAGCTGACGGTGTAATCGAAGAGTAATTAGTATGATGATAATAATTAGAATACTACTAGTGATGATGACATGCTGTATAATCACAATTAAGTCTTCAAACTCTATTAACGGCGAGGTTTTAAATCCTCGCCCGGCAGCCAATCAAATCAAAGCTTCAGAGAATGCACCAATCAGCTCGCAGTGTATAAAATGAATGGCCTCCGCGCGTTCACAACTGAAAAAAGAACAGTTCTTTCTTTGATTCTTAGCGTTAATGTTCAGAGTTCAGAGCTGGGACCTGCGATGTGTAGATATTAGACTTATTATCTGCAGCGGAATATTCAAAACACTTGCTCATAACTGCAGGTCATTGAAGAAGAAAAAAATAATTAATAATAATAATTAATAATAATAATAATAATTAATAATAATAATAATATAATAATAATAATAAGTTTGGCTTTGTTTGTACGCTTAGAAAGGTGCATGAGAGCAGCATTTTATCATCAAAGAATTTTTGGACAATATACCGTTATAATCTTTTTATCACGGGCGTTACTATTGATAAACATAGACATTTATGACCATTTTTGTCACTACTTTTTTTACGTTATTGTTCGAAGGGAAGCTGAGCGAAGCCAAAACAAAATGGCGACGTAATTTTCGGCTTCCTCGTCTGTTTTCCAACACTACCACTGATGTTACAAAAGAAAAAAAAAAAAGAAAAAAAAAAAACTTTGTACCATGTGTTCAACTTAAAAACAAACAAACCCTCTGGCACTCAAGATAAGGATTCGAATTCTGATACCCCACTTCACGTAAACGACTTAGTAAGTTCACTGGAACAGACCAGGCATAATAATCAAGCAGCCAGTGTACTTATCTGACTGATCCCTTGGGCACTGCATCTTTTAAAACCGATCCCTTGGGCGTTGCATCTTTTAAAACCGATTCCTTGGGCGCTGCATCTTTCAAAACCGATCCCTTAGGCATTGCATCTTTTCAAAGTAACAATCATAATACAAAGTGGAAAATTTGATTACCTACCAAATAATGATATTGATAATGTGTGATTTCAGAATACGAGCCAACGTGTCAACCAGTTGCTTGAGTGGTGTTCCGGCGTCGTTAAAAAAGAGAGAAAGAGAGAGAAAAACAAAATAAAGAAAAAGAAAATATGATCATAATAACATCTAACCATAATTCAATCAAATTAAAATTAATACTCGTTATGAATATACGAACACAACTAAATATCGACCTTAATTCTCGCAAGTTGAATATTTCCCGCCGCATCAAAAAATAATAATCGGAAAGAGAAGAATAGTCACGCCGCTCATCTCTCTCTTTGCGCTTTCGGATTTAATGTGATGCCGGAAATACCATGTACTCTGTCACCTCGCTAGGATGCTTATTGGGATATACACGCAAAGCTCAGAGGGTTGATAGGGCCATTTCAATTTACTTTTTTTTATATATTATAAATAATGAGTTATTATTTTTTCCTAATTTGGATGAGTTTCACGTAACTTTATCCCCTCTATCTTTTCCGTCTCCGATTCTCTTCTTTTTTCTCTATCTTTGCATTTCTCGCTTCTCTCCTTTCTCTTCTCTTTTATTCTCTCCAAGTCTCTCTCTCTCTCTCTCTCTCTCTCTCTCTCTCTCTCTCTCTCTCTCTCCTCTCTCTCTCTCTCTCTCTCTCTCTCTCTCTCTCTCTCTCTATCTATCTATCTCACCTTTCTTTTATTTTCTCACTCTCTATCTCCAAATATTTATTCTCCTCTTTACTCACATCTATGCATATATTTACTTCCTGTTTACCTGAACGTATCTCAAATTCTCTCTTAAACGATTCAAGTTCAAATTAACTTCTAACATAAGTAAATAATTTCTTTGAAACGATAATACATTTTTTTTCTTAAGAATATAAACAGTGAAAGCAGTTATCTAGAACAGCTTAATATAGAAACACTCATTTACGCTTAGATTTCAGTCATGTAAAGCTAATATACACTCAAGCAGCACACACACACACACACACACACACACACACACACACACACACACACACACACACACACACTTTAACCACAGACTGACAGATACACAGACACATAAGTACACCCTCAGGTTGGAGAGAGAAAGAGACAAAACATATAATATCCACAAAAAATATATATATATAAATAAAATTCCATTCACACTCACACCTCAAACTATAGTCTGTAGGTCTTTAAATATTATGTAGCTCGTCGAGACAAACCGACTGATCTATCGCACATCTGATGTTGACACCCCATGTAGAGAGACAGTTCTGCGCTTAGAATTCCTTTCTTGTTAGTCAAGATTCTACAAAAAATGCGAAAAAAAAAGAAAAAAAATAGCTTTTTACTCGAGTTTCATCATGTCACGCCCCTCCCTCCCCTTCCCCCTTCTCCCCCCCACCCATGCCCTCTAAATCCTTGTCAACGTCACCATATAATGGTATGGTAATGATTTAAGCATAATTTTGTGTCCTATGCGCTATGCTATATCTGTAGGATAATGTTTACAAAACAAAAGAAACCCTAAAAAAAAAATGTTTTTTCATAATAATATTAAGTGCCCATTTCTGCAACATGTGATAAAAGTCCAAACCTGCATGTGTGTTTCATCATATACTTATCTACTACGTGCAACTTTTTAAAATAAAAGAGTTTGATTTACCAAACCAAGGCCATATTTCATTTCGTGAGGCCTATGCCGCAGAAAGCTCGTATTCTGAAGCTGCACTGACCTCTCAGGAGTGTATGATGACGAAGACGATGAAGAAAACCTTTTAAAATAACATTCAAATTGAGAATCTAATTTTTGAAATCAAATGTTCACTACCAAGCAGAATTAAGATTAAGGAATACGAGACCTGAAGATAGGAAATATATGTAGTTGTGTTGTATTCGGAAACTTTCGCTGAAGAAGTGGATGCCGAGGAGGGAGCTAGATGATTGGCTGGCGCGGCAACCAATCAGCGCGCGCCACGTCCTGTCCGCATCCTGGCGATTGCCTTCCGAATACGCAAAAAATACGTTAAAAGTTGTTCGTTGACTGTGACAATCACATTTCTCATTGGAAGTGAGGGTAGATGGCGAGGCATTCTCCTGGTTATGTAAAACGGACGAAAAAAGTCCATTAGATAAGCAAGAATGTCTTCTTTTTTTACACTTTTACCGAAGACAAAACATCGGTCTGGGAAGCATATATATACCTGCT